ATGGTGATGGTAATGGTAATGGTAATGGTAATAGTAAAACTAATAAGAGTAATAGTAATAGTAATAATAGTAATAAATAACTTTATTTAACGGGCGAAACACTTTACAGTCCTGGACTGAGAAACCTGTGGCCCTCACCTAAATTACAACAATAAAAAGTTACAATGAATAAAAAAATATTTATATACATAATCACTAAACAGACGAACGGGACCCTTCGCTTCCCCTCCCTCCTTGCTATCCCCGTTATTAACCTTTAGGTAACAAGTTATCAGTTTAGGTGGTATTTTTGAACATCGTTTCTATTCGGGTGAAAAAAATCCCCTACACTTAATTTAATCCCCATTAGTATCAACGGAAGTTGGTTGCTTCGGGAACTGTTTTGAAGCTCGTCAAACGTCCATGGAGCACTAAATAAAATAACACCCATTGTACAATTTGCCGGGCCTCCTTCTCTTCCAAAGCATTGCTGGATATTATGTGGCAAGGTTGGCTGGATTAAACGGGACATGGTATACGTATTGAGGAAGGGGAGAGGCAAGGAAAAGCAAGCAACATTTTTGGGCAAAAAGGTAAAGTGTTACTCACAGGTCTTCGACTAGAATTGTGGTTGAAACATGATATTTCTCTACAAATTGACAAACTGGCTGATCTGGCGTTGCCATGGAGTTGATCAAATCCCACTAGTGTCAGAATAAGTCTTTAACTTGATTATTACACTGATTACTACGTCGACTGCTTCGACCTCTTAACCAAGTTGCCTTCCGCATTTTGAGGTGTGCAGCTATTCATTAATTTAAAGTGCTCTTTGACTTACCATCGTTCTCTTTAGCTTCTTTGCTGTGCTCGGGATCCTCGAGTGTAATTGGCGGCGGAAACATGGCGCCCTGCAGCATAGTGTTTACATAGTGTAAGCGTTAGAGCAGTTTTTAATTGAGTCACAGTGTCACAAAACCAAATCCAAAGTAATCACTCTGGCCAATCAGACAGGACACAGACATTACAGTGAACGAATCAAAACTCCAAGTAACTACATGGAGCTGACACAAAGCGCGGAAAAACGAGTGCAAGTGAAACACGATTGGTTTTGGTTTTACTTCTGATTGGATGAAAAAGTGGCGCATCTTTTAAGCCAATCGTGCAGCGTAGTTGATGCAAAACCAATTACTTTTCGATACTCAAACGAAAACCGCTAATATGCCCACGTGCAATGATTCTTCTTGTTTCTATTATCCTAGCCACTAATTCCTTGCATAGAATCTCCTTGATTAACCAGTTTATTCAAGAAAAAAAAAAATCACCAACCAAACAAGTACACGTCACTCACCCTGACTGCATCTGTAGATCCTGATATGACTTCTGGTAATAGATGGTAGCTTTGCTGCTTAAACTAGGGAGGGACTAGCTTTCGTAACCCGTTATGATTTAACGGCATGGCGAGACGTCCGTACTTGCAAAGAAAACTGGCTTAGATGGGTCTGACTGATCGCTGAAAATTGATTAAATTATTAATTGTCAGTCGAGGCGTTATGCTTTTTTTGACTGATGGCTGAGAAGTACTGCTTGTCTCCTTTGTTTAAATAGTAATGAAGCCTGACATTATTAAAGCAAAACTATTGTTTTATCCGCTAATTTCTATTTTCATATAGCTGGAATTTTTCTCACAACAGCGCTCCCATTCATTGGCTAGTTCATGGTCACATGACATCTAACAATCAAACTATTTACAGCAAACTGCCATGAGCGGGCAACATTGCGAAAACTATGACGTCAAAAGGGAAACATTTCACTGTTACCCGCGAAATGTTGACCGCTGTTGCACGTGATCAGAGCGTGCAGTTGAAGGGGCCTAATGTTGTCGCTGGAATCCCAGCGCTTTTTTCAAAATTTGCTTTTGTTTTGTTTTGCTATATAACAAATCACTTAATGACCGGTCCCTTGGGCAACAGTGAATTTTGTTTCTCTCGAATCTCAATGTTTCCCTCGACACATTGAGATTCTCGGGAAACAAAATTCACTGTTCCCCTCGGGACCAGTCATTAAGTGTTAATTGTTATACCTCCCAACTCAAATACTTTTTCCGATTGGAGGAAAACGTGTCACGTGTCATGGGTTAAAACTCACTAGCTCCCTAGAGCGAGCAAAACTCACTAATTCCCTCGGGAAACAACAACTTGAAATTTCGACTCGCACCTGATCAGGTCGTGCACCTTGAAACAGCGGCAAATTTGTGTGCCAGTCACTTGAGCCAGTCGACCTGATGTCAAAACGTTTCTCACTAGAGAAGGCATTCATTATTGCAGAAGAGGGATTTATAATTCCAAAAACAAATCGGATTAACGAGGGGAAAAATTTGAACATCTCGTTTCTTCGAGCTTTTAATTTGGCGCTAAGAATGGGTCGCCCGCGTTCAGCAACTCGCTCTTCGAGCGCTGTCGCCAGGTATAGGAAAATAGTTGTGTCATTTACAACAAAATATGCTGTTCCTCGTCAAATCAAACCCAGAATTCTCGAGTTAAACATTAGAAGGCGCCAAAGCAACCTCAGTATTGTCTTCAATTTTTGTTAGCTGCGAAGAAAAACACTATTATCGTGTCGTTGCGGCAGGAAAGCTCAGTTTGACTGCCGCTCGTACTGCGGGCACAGCCACCGTAGGCGTCAAGCAAATCATTTTTTCGCAGTTTTTTTTTTAATCGGGAGGTATACGTAACAAAACACTTAATGACTGGCACCTCGGAAAACAGTGAGCTTTGTTTCCTCTCAACCCTCAATGTTCTCCGAGGCGAAGCCAAGTGGGGACATTGAGGGTCTCGGGGAAACAAACCTCACTGTTTCCCGAGGGGCCAGTCATRAAGTGCYAATTATTTAATGCCATCTCRCGATACCAACTCGAACCTTTTTCAATTTTTTCTTTAAAAGGTTAGAGCTATCGGGAGTAAGCTGTAGCTCTTTTCGATTTTATTGCTGCCCCGTTAGTTGAACTTTTTAATTTTACAGTTTCGATGCATTTGTTTAAAGCGCTGAACTTCTCCTTTTGTTTGTAAACATTAAGGACTCAAAAAATCAGTTTTCTCAAAAAATATTTAACTCACACAGCCTCAAGCTTGAAATATTTTACAATTCTACACAATTTTAAGATCAAGTCGAAAAATGTCGTGATGATTTAAAGCAATATTACTTGTCGAATCAATGTTTTTATTCGCATGTCCTGTCCTCCTTTAATATTTTCTTGATATTTTACGTATATTTTTCTTGGGAAATTTATATAATGTTTGATGCGATAGAGAAAGGTGATATCTGTGTTCGCGGGCGATATGATCACAATTATTACACACGTAGCCTTAACACTTACCCCGACCACTACAGACCGCTCCTTTTATGACTTCTTGTTGTACGTGGTAGCTTTGTTACTTAAACTAGAGGAAAACGAGTTATCGAAACCCGCTATGGTTTAACTGTCGTGGCGTCTGCTCGACTGGCCTTGAAACAAAGAATTCCTAGTATAATATGGATGTAATCCTGGTATGTTAGCAGTCTGGTTAACACTGTTAATTATTCTTTTACCAAGTCCCAGCTCCGGGGATACGTTGTAACGTTGAAGGAACTCTGCACAAATTAGTACTTTTGTAAAAAATAAATTCACATTGAATAAAACTACAGCTAGCCAATCAAACTGAGCCATGTAGACAAATGCTGTTATGTTGCTTTTATTTATGGCTGCCATATGTTTTCAAATCATTTAGCATATTGCGTCCATTCTGTGGTAGCAATTCTATAGCCGTAGGTTACAATGACATACAGAGAAAAGTCAGAACAAATAAATACATCCCATGAGACAGTTAAACTGTCGGACCATAATTGAACAAAATTCTTGAATCTGCTTACTTATCAGCAGTTAACGAGTTCGATAACAGGTGGGAAAAAGAAAGAAAGACGGCTTTGTATGCCTTAGGTGTTTAAAATACACGACACAACCACAATACGTGCAAACAGTGTGTTCAGTTTTACACTTTTTAAGGTTCAGTTATGCATAAATTCCAATTTTTTTTTTTTAACTAAGTCATGCACACATGGTACATGTATATATCTCTCGTTATATATTTCTCTTATTTTTTATTATTATTTTTTTTTAAGTAGATTATCAGCACGTTTGATAACTTGCTCAACTGACCTGCTGGCTTTATTTTTAACAGTTTGTTTTTACCATCCAGTTTACCTTTTTTTTAGTTTCATTTTTTTATCTTGTTTGCCGTGATCTAACATGATACCCTAGGTATAATGTTGATGTTGATGTAGCTGGTAAATAAATAAGTAAGTAAGCAAGTAAGTAAACAAGCAAACGAGCAAGTATTCAAATTCGCCAAATATCATGACAATGCTGTTGGAAAATTTGTTTTCCAAAGTTTGCATACATACAAAAGTTCATCCAAGCATACAAATTTTGCGCGTATTATTTTTCTTGTATTTGAATTATATAGAACTGAATTGTCAACTAAGGAACATTCACATTACGCCGGATTTTTGTTGCAGTGCAGATAAACATCGCACCGATATATACCTTCATTCATGCTCCGAAAAGAGCCTGAAACAGAGCCAGTGAGATGTTAGTTTTCGCACAATGATAGTTCAGTAGTGGCGCGTGTTTTGTTGACTGAACCGGCGGTCCAATATCATAATGAACAATCAACTGGCACGCGCTAGCCAGACTTATTGTTTGATTAGTTGCACATCATCGCTTCACTGAACTTAAGACAATTAAGTTAAGGATCCTTAACTGTGCTTTGTTGTGTTAAGAAACTAAAAGCACACCGGATACAATTGTTGTTTGCGACTGATCCTGAACTTTTAATACTCCCAAGTGTTTTATAACAGAGCAAAACGCGTTTGAAAAAGCAGCTAATGTTTTGAGCATTCGCCTCAATTTGTAACGGCTTTTTTTACCGTATTGCTCCTGGATTTCGGAATGGAATAAGTTCAATGGAAAATAATTGTTTAATCAAATGTGCGTTTCCCCTCACCGTCGGTTACGATTGCTCCCGAAAAGAACTAAAAGCCTTTTGAATCAAAGTAAGTCAGGGCTTATTAGCGACGAAATTTTACGGTGGATATACGTGATTTAGCGTAAAAAATCGATAATCAACACCGGTTACTTCTTCTGAAATAACTGTTTTTAATTCAATGGTCATCAAACGGTTTTTATGTTTTCATAATTTAAACATATTTTTTAAAAAGCGTCTTGCTGAAGGTGACTAATTTTTTATTTAAACGAAGAAACACAACATAAGGCCTATTCCAGTGCAGCATAATGTCTATTGCACGTTGATTGGAACTACAACTGAACATATTTACAACCATCACAGAAAATTTGTTTACTGCTTTCGCTGTGCCTTTGATTGGATGAAAAATCTCTTAAGAAAACTGCCGAAGTCTCCCAATATTCTGTTTTATTTATTTATTTATTTATTTTTTATTTTTTTTTTTACATCACGGTTATACAGGCAGAATCGATCGCGACTCCCTCAGGAAAGATAACTATTTCGCTCTTTACTTGTTTCACTATTAAATGTCAGTTATCCTCTGCAGTTTAAGGTCTCAGCCAGTTGTCAGGCTCAAAAGTACAATATGAACGTTTGGGTAGCTTGTCATTGATATACTACAGCTTTATTTCTAAGCGGTTAAGTACTCCTTCTTTTTTGAAATCCCCGTCCTTCTACTACATGTACGGTGACCTGGCCCGAAACTTGGGGCGATGAGTTCACTGAAGAACTATCCATGTTCGTGGTCTAAGTTAAGAACATCAAAATTCAGAAAGATATGATACAACCAAGCGCGTTGCTTAATACACAAAGATGTAACAGAGCGGCCGTTTTCAACTAGATAACTTCAGGGTGGATCTAAAATTTGAACTTACCAAAACTCATAGACTCTTTGACACAAAATTCGTTTATCGAATGATCGTTTGAATGACAAAAAGTAAGATACAAGCTCTCCCATGAAAGCCTCTAATACCAGCCTGAGATTTAAAACTGCTTTTTCACCACCGTAAAGCCCAATACATCAAACAGGTAATGTAATTGTGTGCTTAGATTTCTTATGAAAGAGCAATTTTTCCTCTAAATTTGATAAATATAACAAGCAATTTACGAAATTACATGTTTAGTGGATCAATTAAACACACAATGATGTTTTCCCTTTCTTTTTATTTGTAGCCTATGAGGAAAAGCGGTCGCTTTACTTCTGAATGAAAAGAGGAGGACTATTTTGCCTTAATGTCTCGTAAGAACAGCGAAATTGTACATCTCTTTTGAAATTTTACATGACAATTAACATAGATGAAAACTAGAAAAGAAAATGATCAAAACTGTTAAAGTTCTATCGAGAAGCTACTGGCGGACGGAATATCTTCGACACTCTATAATCCTCAGTCCTTTAGTCAAGAGGCTGTCCTTTGGTCCGCAAGCCTTCTTGAGTAAAGCAACAGTACCGTCTGCCATTGACTACCTGAAGAGAAAACAATAGCCATTATTGTCAAAAGAAAAATGCAAGAGTAACTTTGAGGAGTGCAGTATCGAGGAATTCCATACTTAAACCATCTGAGGGCACTAATGTCTTTGTAGATTTTGGCAATTTTTAGCTTGCGCACAGACCTCTACTATTTTTAGTTGTTTCACGCGGAATCTAGTGGGTAATTACGTCAAAAATGTTACTTATTGCTTTAGTGTTGGTTGTTTTTTAAACAAGCCTGGTTACATTATTAGACTGTTCCAGGCTTTAAATGAAAATGCGAAGAAGGAAAAAAATGATCGGACAGGGATGCAGCGACGAAATGAGGGAAGGAGAGGATGAGAGCTCATAGACAAGGATAATTGTTACAGTGAGAATGAAACAAGGATAACATCTATTTATCAACAATGACAAACCTAAAGTACGTTTCTCCCTGGAAAAGCGACCGTGGTTGTAAGTTTTCTCGATTTTAGTCCTCTGGTCTCTCGCTATCCAGGCATTCCACTAGGCAATCATTGCCTCAAAGTAGTGTTCAGAAATGCTGTCTAAAGCTGAAATGTGAGATATATAAAAAGTGAATCATATGAAAAGCTTTCAAACACCTTTCATATCAGTCGCGATTTTAGTGATATCACACAGCTCTTTCCTTGAATAAATTTGTTGCCTATGGCATATTTGTGTTGTGCTAAAGGAGAACGCTATTCTGTAAACCATACGAGACTAGCGAATCAGAGCAACTTTAAGCTACTATATTAGTGCATGGGCATAGCCCGCTTTCCAAACACTGAGTAATCTTGCCTTTTTTTTCCCGAGTAATCTAGTCATGCAGTGTGTAAAACAAGATCAATCTATTTGATACGATCTACCTGTAACGTTACTGATCTTGCCAGAACTGGCTGCCTGTCGATGCTAGCTCTTACACTGTTCGAACAGCGCTTTTATGAATCCCTCCTTTAGCGGAAGGTTAGTTTTAACCAACCGAACAAACAAATTACTTAGTGACAAGTATACCATGGAGGCGTCATGAGAACACTGATGCAATAGGACTATCGCCATATCTTGAATGGCGTTATAGGAATTTATGGTTTGTTGCTGTTACTACTGGCGGCTTAGTTCAGAAAGGTGAATTTCACTAGCTTGAATGAGTTTAAGTTACTGACCACTCATCCCGACTGCTGACGCCTTGTTAAGAACCTCAAGTCCAGCTTGTGCTCCTGGCATAATGAATCTCCTTCTATTCCAAAAGCGTCAATAAAACAACAAATAAATCAAAGAAGAAGCGTAATCGAGTGCTTGCACACCGGGATGTGAGGCTTCACCACTAGCTTGTAGCACCGAGATCAACTTCTTGGCTTCGCTTGTAGAATAACCTAAAGCTCAAAAGCGTGTTCCAAGTGATTTGGAGCACTGAGGAAGTGGTGCCTTTTAAAATAGAACGAACCGAGAAGGAACTAAATGACATTCACATGGAGGGCGGAAATTGTTTGAGACGAGGTGAATAACCTTCTTTGTTGTCTTGGTTTTGAGTTGTCTTTATTCCTTGTTGAACGGTTGATCTCGTGATTCGTCGTTAGTCAGATTATGTCGCATGTCCTGGCATATAACACAAAATGGAAGAAATGCATCGACATTTTAGTGCCAATAAAGGGCATAGTGCGATAATTAACTTATCACTTGAGAGCAGCAGTGAATTGCGCTTTTTCTAGTCTTTGCAACTGGCTTAGTAAGGTGTCATTATTCATCAGCCACTTGATCATAGCTGATGGCAGTTATGGGCTTGAAACTTTCTGGAGGATTAACTTGAATAGAGAGGCAGGGGGTGGGAGTAGACTGCGTGAGGGGAATTGTTGAGAGGAAGAGAAGAATAGGGGAACGAAATACTTCAAACACTTATCTTTCTTGGTAACCAAGGAAGTGAAATTTCTATTTAAAGGTAGTCTGCTGAACAGGCGGATTAGCGATTAGCTCGTGGTCGCGCTCTGTGCTCGTGTATCGCGTTTCGCTCTTTGCCCCGCTAAGACGCCTATGCGAGTTTAAATCCTTCATCTACGGTTTGCTAGCCACGAAGAAAGCCTGACGCAAAATAAAAACGAAAGACAAAAATATCTGATGTCTCATCTCGTGTTTGAAAACAGATTGTCTATATTTGAAAGAGATGAGTAGTTCTGT